TCGAAAATCCCAGCGCAAAAAAACTTATATAATTCTGATTACGAAAATTTAGAATTAGAAGCCATTTATAGATCTTTTAAAATGCAAAAGCAATATGTATTGCTTATTATTGATTATCATTACAACTTATTTTTACATTATTTGTAAAACATATTGTTATTATGAGATTTATCTATGTAATTTATTTTCAGTCAATTAATTTAGAATTTGTAAAAACAAATATTCTCGACAGTTAATACCTGAATAATTAATTGTTTATATCAATATTATTTTAATTAACAATAGCTTTTTGGAATTTTTCGCTTATCGGCATTATTTCGTATTGATTATTAGATATTAATTATTAGTTATAACTTTTAGTAATTACAATAAAAATATGTATCAGTTTTCTAAAGTCGACGTTTTTTTGTAAGACAAGTGAATCGATTGCTGCTGAGCGAGTTGAGAGTTGTTGCTATGGCTTAGTGCTAATTTGAGGGATTATAATATTTATTTATATAATTTAGGCCCTCTCCTACAGGCATTGACCTAATGCTATTTTTAAAAATATGGGGCCCAAATCCCCCAAAATTGCACATATTTTATTATTAGTATTAATATTATATAATGTTAATAACTAACTAATAATTTGGTTGTTAATGGTAAATTTAATTAAAACTGAGGCCCTTTGTATTTTAATCCCTGGTGAGGCCCTCCATAGTCAGTCTGACCTTACATGGAAGTCAGGCATGATCAATATCGTACAGTTGGAAGAGAATACTAGTGCGGTAAAGAATTATTATTATTTATTATTTAAGTTACCACGTTTTTAGGCGAATAAGTGAAAAAAAACTCGAGAAAATACGAACATTTCTCGGATTATCTTACCATAGAAAATACAACAAAAATAAGTCGCACTAATATTTTGATATCCAAGTGAATTTAATAGGAAGTTGAACAACACTCTTGAGACCAACAGGGAACGTTATGTTAAACACATAATTTTATTATTCTAATCTTAACTTGATTTCAATTTAAATGATAATAATGTTGCTCATTAGTTAAATTATCTCATTGAAAAATTAATTAATTTTACTTTTAAATAGTTTTTCGCGTATTTATACAGTAAATAGTGTAACTATTGTAACCTGAAGACGGACTCATATTTATTGCTATTCGTCATTATATCGTCGCCTCAGTTCAAGACTGCAATAACTCAAAAAAACTATTATTGAGATATCGACGCCCAGTTCAAGACAACAATAACTCAAAAATATTCAGAATTGAGTTATCTACATGATATTATTTGCAAAATTACGACGATTTCGATTTTATAACGCAATAACTTGGTAGTATTTAGTAGTTATTCATCTCTAGAGGTTGTTTATTTCATTCTAGAACCAGTAGTTTCATAATTTGAGTTATTGCAGTCTTGAACTGAGGCGTCGATATTATATTGTTATATAAAGACAGTGGTGTATTTTCAGGAGGGGGAGGTCCCCGGTTTCGACCCCCCAGAAGAAGAAAAAGGTTACTGTATAGCGATGTTATTAATAAATAAAAACTTCTTAATAACAACTGAAGAAATTATTGATGAATTCACAAAAAAAGAAAGATGTTCACCTTTTTTATTATAAATAACTCTTGATTTATACTTACTAACTACTCGAGTTTTTCTCAGTGAGGTCCAGTAATCATTTGATATTAATTTAAATAAAAAATTAATTAATTAATAATAATATTAGAATAATCTAATTATTAATATATATCTTATAAGTATTCTTTATAAAATTTTTAAAAATATTAATATAATGAAACATTTTAAGTCCACCACACAAAAAATTTGAAAATACACCACTGTATAAATCATTTCATTCTCATACATTATATGCACCATAGGTAAAAACAACCTACGAATATAAAATTTTAAAAAAATATTGATCGCAAGCAATGGTGAAAGGGTCTAGTCACTTCAAATATTTCCAAAGCGCTTTCCACCAAACAACATTTCTTATGTATTGTGTAAATATATAAATACTGTCTATTTAGAATAAATGTTTTTTTTTTTATATATATAACCCATTCATCATCTATGACAGTTGTTCCCACACTTTTTTGGATCATGCTTCCTCAAAACAAAAAAAAAATAATCACGCTACCCAATAAAACTTTTTTATTATTTTAGTATAAACAAATTATTACCGATAGACTTATAAATATATGACAGTTGACTATCGATGACTAAGAAGCCAAAAGTTGTAAGTCCATTTTTTCTCAAAATCATTTTATAAGTTCATTAAGTAAATCTAGATCGTATTTTTCATTGAATCGAATATTATAAGTCAAATATCATTGTAAATATATTTTTTTGGTACTTAAAATATTTTGTATTTAGCACAAGTTAAACTTTTTTAGTGCACACATGTAATAAGTCCTATATGACTTGAACTTACTATAAATATTTTAACTCAAGTTAAATATTAATTGAATGAATATTATAAGTCTGCAAGACCACCCACAAGGAGGGACAGGGGGAAACGCTCCCCCTAACTTCCCAGCTATTTAAAATAATTATATCCAAATTAAATATCCCAAAATCCCAAAAATCATAATTGGTACAAAGGTGTATTAATATTTATAGCTGATTACGTTCAACAAAGTGTGAGAATCGTTTATCTGGATTATGTATGTTAAGTTTACACAGAAAAAAAAATCGAAGAACTTCATTTAGCTGAAAAAGTTGTTTCCAGGTCCGGACCCCCATTGAAATTTCTACATACTCAACGATTTAATATTAAATAGTATAATAATAGTATACGTATACAGTGTATTTTAATTTCTCATTATTTTCAATATTCAAAGTTTATAGATTATATAATATACATATTATGTATAAACCATACTATAGTATATTAACAGTAATTTGTTGGTATTGAGTTAAACTCTAATAATAATTAGAGAACAAATAAAATAAAAATTTTGGATCCCCCCACCCATAAAAATTCCTGAGTACGCTCCTGATCCCCATCATTTGCAAACAAATCATTATTTTTTTTTTTATGTTTCTAATGCTCTCACACTAAGAACATTATTTTATAACATTATAAAAAGGCCTAGGAGGGATCTGACCTCACCCCTTCTTGTATATGCTACTGATATTCTTAATAGCCAATCACTCTAAATCGTAAACATTAGTTAATTGTAAATATATTATAAAAACTGGAAAACCACAAACTTCTATCGAAAAACCAATTTGGTTTTAAACCTAGTATAGGCACTGAAAATGCCTTATTTAACACAATTGAATTTATTTATAACGAAGTAGAAGCAGTAAAAAGGTCTTAGCTGTGTTCTTGGACTTAGCCAAAGCATTTGATACGGTAAATCACGAAATTTTACTCCAAATCCTACCCTCTTTCGGAATTGATAAAGTTAGTATAGTTCAAAAGCTATCTTTATAACAGGAGACAAATGTTTAAGATTGACAATGTATGGGACCAGGAAGGTATAAATGAATTTGGTGTCCCCCAAAAAAGTGTACTAGGCCCGATATTATTCTTATTATACATTAACCTTATCAGTGATCTAAACCTCGATGGATTAGTTGTATCTTATGCTGATGACACCTGCCTAGTTTTCTTCGACAAGTCTTGGGATGGAGTACATCGTAGAGCAACTGTTGGTACGAGTATTAACAAAGTCTACCATTGCCTACGTGAAAGACATTTAATTTTAAATGATAATAAAATATTTTTCATGACTTTCTCTATTAATAAAACATGCTTAACCCTAAATCCATTAATGACATCACAAATGTGATGACAAAAACAACTGTAACAACCTACAAAATTGTATTATTATAAAAGAAGTAACAAGAACTTGTTACCTAGGTATCATTTACGATAATAACTAAAGGTGGAATCTACATTCGCAAAATTTACTGGGAAAGCTACGCGCAATTACCTACAAATTTTATAAATTAAGGGGGCTTAGTACCTGTACCAACAATGCGTGTTATTTATTATGCTTTATACCAGTTAATATTGCAATATGGGCTACTAGTTTGGGATGGTTAAGGCGACCGCACTACCAGATTAACAAAGTCTTCTTTAAAAGGCTCCTCGAAAGAAAATTACAGGAGACTTTGGGCGTTCTTCCACTCAAGTTACTTAATAAAAATATAGCAATTATGTTAATTTTTAAGAATGTCATCAAAAGTGTAAATAAAAAAATTTATGATAGTAAAAGGGAATGCAGACTTTATAATATTCCAGTAAAATACACGAGGAAATCATTCGAGCAATCCTTTGTAAATTACTTAGGGCCTGTTTATTTCAACTCGATGCCATATTCATGTAAGAAAAACGTCTACTGTACCAAAACTAATCCTAAAAAAAATTATATACCACTGGTTGTTCTCCCAACTAGCATAATCTAACTCATTCTTTCATCTGATCACTTATCTATATTATATTATATTTTCTTTCTTTTCTAGTGTAATTGTAATTGTTTTCATGTAAATATTCTCTCAAATATCTTATTACGTTAATGTTTAAACCTTTCGGTATTGTATTAGTCACAAACCATTATTCATTTGTATTACTCTCTATCTCAACACAAGCTACTGCTTAAAGCGATAGTTAAATCTAGTAAATAACATTTTATTGTATGTATTATGTAATTTATGACGATTAATAAAAAAAAAAAAAAAAATTCATTACTTTGCTAAATATTTTAAAATGTAAAAATGACTTTAAAATGAATTTAAATTTCATGAATTATATACTTTTAATTTGATTTTCAAATATTTATGAGTTCTTAATACAATTAACTTGGTACATTATAACAAAAATTGCAAATGTTTTGCATAAAGTTTAGTATATTATCACTACTATTATTAGGAACATTTAATACAGTTAATAAAAATATTATAATAACAATAATTTATTATAATTCAACACAAATGTTGATTTATTCATAATTTATTGATTTTAAGTTAGAAAAATAAATAATAACAAAAATACATTCAAATATATTTATTTTAAATTTTAATAGAAACTAAACACAGTTGGTAGATGTGGTTTCAGATTTGTTTAGAAAAAAATGTATTTAATCAGAATCATCTACAAGTCCATCTGAATCATACACAAGCACTTTTCCTTTCTTAGCAGATTCTTCTATTGGCAATGAAAAACATCTTGCAAAAACACGTGCAGTGTCAGAAAGTCCAAGTGATAAATGACCATCAGAATCTATTTCAATAGGCTCATCATTAACATGGACATCAGCAACTTGAGATAATAATACATCATCTTCCAAACATTCTTCTCTGAACTGTTCAATTATTGTCATTGAATTCACAGAATTCATTTTCTTTAGTGGCTGTTGGAAATGATTAGAAACCTGATGTTTACGTTTTCTTGAAATACTATCTGGATATTCTACTTGTACTCGCATTGGGGTTCGTAAATTTGAATTAATTAATGGTGTTTGATGCTTGTCAGGTAACTGATTCACTTGATTTCCATCACTACTCTGAGTATTTTCAAATGCGTTAATATTTAATCGAATTGGTAAAGAATCAGTATTTCCTGATGATGTACTCTCATTCATCGTCGATAATATATACTGACTTTCAAATGTTAAACCATTTTTCAGTCCAAAAACCATAGGCCTGTTAATTTTTTTTTTTTAATTTTTATTGTTACTACATGAATATTAACTCAAAATGTATAACACTTACATCCCAGGAGAACTAAAACGAATAATTATTGGTAATGACATGTGCTCTGCAAAAGCTAACAATGGTCGAATTTCTTTAAGACAAAATGTTATACAGCTACCTTCACCAACATCATAGATATCAAATTCTGACATCTGCAAACTCAATTCTGTACGTAAAATTTTTCTTAAATCTATAATTACATAATAGATACATGAAGTATGATTTAATTAATTTGAAATCTAAATTTAATAAAAATAATAATAGTTATCATGAAGCCAAAAATAAATTTGAGCACCTCGACAAGATTCCGAATGGGTTTTAAGAAGTACTTTTTCAGTAGTCACATCTAGAGTAATATCCACTTCACTATTTTGGAAATGTTTTACAGCAGCAGATAACACTTTGGAATCGATACAGAGTGTATGAGTTGTATCAACATTTTGATTTACCTTGAAAAAATGTATATACCTCATTATAAGTACATATTTACTTGGAATAATAATTTAACCAATAAATTACTTGTAAGGCTGAGTATTCTAACACTGGTATCAGATGAGTTTTGACACAAAAATTTGAGTAACGAAGCTGAATAGTAATTGTATCAGTGTTATTTTTAATTTCCATATGACATGATTCTAAGCAGCGACTTAAATGTGGAGATTTGAATATTGTAATGCATGACTAATAAAAAAACAAAATTATTTTATAACCTTCTTTTTGATATCAATTTACAATAAGCTGCAATAATGTACCTTGAGCGATATTTTACATTTCAACGAGTTCTCACTGTTTTGTTCATCGTCTTCCGTGAAATAATAACTGGAGAAAAATGAAGAGTCAAATGTAAACCATGCATACACAGTATGCCAACTGTTGGTTGTGTGCATGATTAATTGTGATGAATTAGGCTCAATAAACAAATCTTCCCCAATTCGACACATAGTGTTCAACGCCCGCGACAGAACTATAAAAATATATATTATTTAATGAGTAAAAACAAATACATGTTTGTCCTCGTAATCAGATCATAATTTGGATACAAAAACGAATCAAACCAACTTTTCAAATTCTGCCTGGGTATGACACACTTCATGTTTCTAAAAACTGTTATCAAGTAATGATCACATATCCATGTTTAGTACAATTAGTTGATCTATTACATTTTTAAAAACCACTCACTGCCAATTGCCAGGATAAAGTTTTAAAACAAAACAACTGATCATAATTTTGAAAACTAAAATTTTATCAGTTATCAGTTTCGCTGCTATTATCACAGTATAATTTATTCCGTGCTATTATCTCGACCAATTTGCAGGCTTATTGAAGTTTGAAAAATATTTTTTTTCATTTTTAGCCAAGACTTGAATGCAGAGGTGACACTAGGTATTCTTACACCCGGAGAAAATGGTAAAATTACGCCCTATCATAGACCAATAATCAAATACTCTTCTCGAGAATTGTTTTCTAATAATTAATATATAATCATACTTATTGAGTTTTAACTTAATAACAGTGTTAAATAAAGTTAAAAATATCAAATTAGTTGTTAATAATTACACCCTCTAAAATTTTACGCCCCGGGATGAATCCCCGTCTTCCACCTCCTAGTTCCGCCTGTGTTTGAATCACAGATTATATTAAATTATATTATTATTATTTTATATATTTATTATATTAAAGTTTTATATAATCTGTGCTTGAATTATGATTATTGTAAGCCCTCCGTATGTAATACCCAATTAAAATGTAGGTACCTACATTGTTATACGATATTGTCAACATGCACAAATTGAATATATTTTTGTCGAATTATACCGGTGTCCAATAGGTACCGTTAAGTATATCAATCACTATTAAGTAAAAATGTTTTAACATTTAGCAGCACATTAGCTGCTTATATTTTCTCGTTTTTTTTTCAATGATCATTTATAATTCAAAAATCAATATTTTATTTATATCAGTACATTTATCTATATCAGACTTGTTAAACCATTCTTAATTCCAAAAATTACCTACAGTAAATTAAGTATATCCATTAATATATCTTTATTGACAATACCTACAATAGCGTCATTGTATCAAAATAAAACAAAGTAAATAGTGTTATAAGTATTTAAAAAAAATATATATCCAAATAATCTGGTCATGTTGTTAAATGAAAGTCTAGTGCAAGATAGATAATATAAAATATCAAGAAATATTAATGTTAGCACTATTTGTGCTCGCGTAGACTTATTCTTTAATCTTATACGTATTTTTATTTTTACATTGAATTAAAATAAATTCAATTATAAAAAATATTTGTTATATTTTACAAGCAAAGCATAAATTTTTCTATTATAAATTGGGAACGTTCATTAATTCTAAGCTACATAAGTAATATCATTAGATGATTATAATATAAATTAATAGCTAAAATATGCATTAATTTTAGTTTGTCTTTTACTAATAAAATATTATTAATAATCGGTATAGATATTGAAAAAAAAAATTGGATGTCAATTAGAATTTTGGCCTACATTTATTAACCGTCGTGCGGTCTCACCTCCACGGCTCTACTTTATGTGATTTGCCTGCACGTTATCAAAATCCAATCGAGTTATAGCCTTATCACTCCCATTGCCGAACGTCATACGTCTTTAGCCTTAGATCATATACTATATGATATAAGTCTTTAGCAAACTCATATTAATATTAAGCATATTCAAATCCATAAAACAAATTAATATTCTTACAATTGGTGTTACGGAAACCTTAAGACTATTATTCCAGTTTTTTTACTTGTGTCCGCCTAACGCCAAAGTTTTTATAAACACCAATTGTTAGGTACGTCCTAGTTTTGTTTCCTTTGCAATGGTCCATTTAAGTGGTGAGTTTTTGGTTTCTCATTGATGTTAAAGTTGACCATTAACTGTTAGTTTAGACGACTACACCATTTATTTGTTTAGAAGCTCAAGAGAAACTTAAGAAATATAGAGAAGACAATGAACGTAAGAGTAAAGAAGTGTTAGAACTATGGGACTCCTCAGTCAAACATAAAATTAAACAATTAGGAAATGATCGTAAGTATTTTTGTTAGTAATTATTTTTCTCATAAATGTATACAACTGATTTTCCAACCAAATAAACATTGATTAAAAAAAAAAAAAGCACCTAATTCTTTCAGCATTTAATTATTGTAATTTTTAATGGGCGTGTATTATAATATTACTTCTAGAATTTGGTTTTAATATATGAAGTAACACATTTGAATAACAAACATGTTATTGCATAAAAAAAAATACTCAAAAAAAACATGTACCTAAACGAATAATCAAATATTTTTAATATTTTTAAATTTTATTACTACTTCAACATATTAAATTTTAATTTCATAAATAACATTTTAAATAAACCTTTAAAAGTATATAAAAAATTAAACAAATCATTAATTAAATTATCATTTAAGACACATTTAAAGAGTTTATAAAGTGTTTGAAATAATCCTTCAAACCATGTAATAGCTAGAAATGTTAAAAAAAAAAAAAGAATGATATTTATTATAATTCAATGATACTTATATAATTCATAAATAATAGTATAATATATAATTATATAAAAAATCTTATTACATTTATACTCTAAATGTGTAAATTTATCTGTTTTTGTCATAGTTAATATTTATAACTTAATATTAAAATAATTAATGAATATTATTTTTTATAAATTTTTATTAAGGTTACCTTGTTTTGGAACAAGTATTAATAGCAGCATGTGATTGCAACCGTATTGATGTTGCCAAAGTATGTTTACAAATGCTCCTTAATAAATTTCCTGAAAGTCTCAGAGTACGGCGGCTGGCTATAACTATACTAGAAGCGGAGGAAAAGTAATTTGACACATTATTATTTTATATACTTAATAACAAGTGTGTAATGTTGTAAATCAAACATTTGTTTATACAATTATTACATTTTATATCTTATGTAAATTAGGTATGATGAAGCATTAGAAGCTCTTGATCAATTAATCAAAGCAGATGAAACTAATGCTCAAACCAGGAGACATAAAGTAGCTATATTAAAAGCTAAATGTCAAATTAGTGAAGCCATAAAAGAACTTGTTGAATACCTTAAAAAGTGTGTTCAAAATCAAAAATAAATTTCTTTTAAATAATCACCGAATAAAAACTTAATATAAATCTAGGTTCATGGTAGATCAGGAAGGTTGGCAAGAATTAAGTAATTTATACTTGTTAGAAGGAGAGTATGCTAAATCTGCATATTGTATGGAAGAAATGATTCTGCATAATTCTCAGAATCATTTATATCATCAACGACATGCTGATATACGATATACACAAGTATAATTTATAATATAATATTCTTTACTATATTTACTTTAAAGTTAATATTATTTTAAATTTATATCAAAAAAAAAATGTTTGGATGTATATTAAAAGTTCATATTTTTCAGGGAGGCATAGACAATTTAGAATTAGCACGTGCTCATTACTCATATGCTATTCTTTTAAATCCCAACAACATTAGAGCATTATATGGCTTATACTTGGTAAGAACAATTATATATTTATTATTACAATTAAATAGGCATTAATTGTATTAGAAATATTTCATTATAGGCTAAATGACCTACTTTCGTTTAAAAAATATAAACTTAAAATTATAATAAAGTTAATTATTCAGCGTTACAAATATATACTCTTTTATACTATTTATTTTATAAGCTGTTAAAATAAAACAAAATAATTTATTATGTCATTAGACACAAAACTAAAATAAGATCAGTGGCGATCACATAGGGTACCAAGTGGTGCAATTACATTTATATCTCATGGGTCTCTGGCCTACATACATTTGGAGGCCCTACTCTGGTCTGGAGCAAACACTATAAATGCATAACTATTAATCTGGATCTTTAAATATTGAATAAAATGTAAAGAATTAGCAGTGTCAAAAATGAAAACAAATATAAATATATAATAACTAATATAGATAACTATAACAATGTTGATTGTGTTTGAAGTTAGTGTCAGGATTCAAGGAGCCGTCTCAAGATTTATATGTTACTATATTATGTAACTACTATATAGAAATAAATTATGATGAAGTAATAGATATATTTTGGAAAATAAGTCAACATATATCCAATCCCTTGAATTAAATCACTAATCAAAATTAATATGTATGTTGTAGTATTGTCTTTGAAATCTTTAATAATTAATAATTTATTGTATTTGAAAAACTACCCTGAGCAATACCAACCGGTGAAAATTTTTTTTTTTTATAAAATGTTTAATTTAAACTTCTATTAAAAAAAATGAACAGGAAATTGCAATAAATTTAAATTTATTTAAGGTAAATATTTATTTGAAAATGTATTTGGAAAAAAATTTTTTCAATCAAACAAACATGATTGTATGGATGTAAACCAAAATAAATTTGGGGGCCTATAATTTTCACTGCACTGGTTCGTGAAAAACCTATGGGGGCCACTGAATAAGATTTTATAGTTTAGTAATAAAACTAAATATATTAACTGTTATTAGATTTATAATTAATTTTAAAATTTAAAAATTAATATTTTAGACTGCTCGTAGTTTAATGTCATCACAAAAAAGTAATCAAACAAAGAAAGCTACATTCAAGAAAATTGCTACATTATCTTTAAAACGAGTTGAACACATTTATAGGTAAAATATTACTCTTACTTAATTACTCAATTTACTATATTTTTATAAATTATCAAATAATAATTAAATTTGTATTTTTTTTAAGTGAGAAAAAACAATTAAACAAGAAAAATCAGCTTTATGTACTGGAAACATTAATGGGATCATTGCATTTAAGCTTGAATTAATCTAGTCTAAGATGTTGGTATAATTATTATATTTATTACTTTTTATTTCACAAACATTTTTTTTTGGCATTTATTAAGATTATGTCTGAGCTTCTATAAACGGGATGTTGTTTTTCTTCTGAAACATATGATAATATAAAATGTTCAACCAACATGTCTAAAAACATTTTCCATGTATTCTTTTGTTTTTCGGTTTCTCTGAGTTCTTGACATATTAGTATTACTGTATTTGGAGTGGTCAATTCGGTCATAGTTTTCACCAGCGCTTCAACCACCTTTGAACAGTTTTATAAATATACAATTATGTAAGCTAAATTAAAAACAATCTTACTTCAGGATAATATATACAATCAGCCATTATTAAAAAGTCAAATGGTTCAGACCTAAATGCGGTACCCCATTTTAGTGCAGCAACTTTTACAGTACCTTTTATAGAAGGTATATTTTCATCAACATTTTGTTTCAGTTGCTGTAAATTTTCTGGTAAATCTGTAAGTGTGACATTTCCTCTAAAAAATATGTAAATGTAATATATATATAAATATTTTTTAAAGTTCATTGTGTATACATATTTAGTTCAATAAATAAAATACATTTGATGTTTTTTTTTTCACTATTTATAACTACGCAAGACTTACAATTTACATTTACCCGAAACATGCAGCAGCCAGCCCAACACATCCTAGTCCTGATCCTAATTCTATCACATTCTTAGATTCAAAGGTTTCATTATTTTCCATGTACAAAACTTCTAAATACTTAGCCAATACTAAAGCTGCATCCCATACTACACAGTTGACATCGCCATACTCTTGTTGACAAAACTTCAAAGTAACATTTATCGATTCCAGATCAAAATTCCTAAAGTATATATTTTTGTCCATAATTCTAAAGCTTGAAAATGTATTTCTTAAATATAAAAATTTGTATATCTTTGTAACATGCCTTGGTTAATCGACAACCGTTTTATCAGTTAACGTGACAACGTTTTTTTTTTTTATTTATCTTGGATTCGTGATTAAAGATAACAATGATAAAAAGTAAACAAGTGTTCTTATCAGAATATTTATTTTATTGAAATATTTATATAGGTAGGTGGTATTTTACAAAAAATTATTACAATATAACCATAAATAGTGGTGTATTGGAGGGTATACCCGATACGCTATTTTCATCGATGGCGTATAGCTTGTGAGAAATTGATAATACGCGGGTATACGATCGTATATAACTTGTAATTTGACAAATAACTACATAATACCTTGACTAACCTAACTTGTGGTTATATTTATGACGTGCGGTATCAGTATATTATTATTATTTTTCTCTTTTTTTTTAATTTGTTATCATTTAACAACAAGTTTCTGTTATCAAACAGTCACAATTAAGGATGTGTAGTTCATGGGTTTTTTTAGTTCTTACCATATGATAGTTACTACATGAAATAAGGCGTATACCCATGATTTATTTTAGCAATACGACTCATAGGAATTAATTATTAGTAATATCATTGAATTCTTTTTTCGTCCTGCTCACGATATAGATATTGTTTTATATTATGATATGTACTATCTACATCGTGGTCCTACTGTTACAAGCAAACTGAAAAGAGTGAGCAACTGAGTTACTAAGTGTGGTTGATTTATTGTGTTATAGACTATGATACAATATGTGATCTTAAATCATAAAAAAAAAAAGATTACAATTTTACAGTTAGGCAAATTCAAAATCCAGTCTCTTCTGTTATTAACGTCTTCCATGACGAATCCTGGCGTTTCTTACATCCGAAATGTATAAAAATCAAAAAAAACATAATATTTGTTGAATAATTAAAACCTCTGAATAAAAACCTTTGTTGCGGACATACATGAATGTAGGTCCTTACGACTCTTACAGTACGAGCGGGTCCACATAAATTATAAATATTAGAGAGTAATATAATATTCGCAATAATAATAGAAAGGAACTATTAGTTAAACAGAGGGTAAGCAAACACGTATTACGAAGACAGGTAGTATGTAATAAATATTACGACTTATATGACATGGACGGGACCATGTAAATCGTGACGGTAGATATCAAGAAAATAATTATTATTAACACAATATTAGCAGTCGTAAAAATAGAAATGAATTTTAGCTAAAAGCCAGAAGATAAACCAGTACATTACTATGTGTGAATCGCATGGCTATATGTAGGATTGTAACTGGGAAAAATCGTGGCAAATATGGGATAAGTGCGAATAAGGTCATCTAGGTAATAAAAAGCCATTAGAGACAAATTATTTATTATAATTAAAAACAACTATCGCCCAGCGCGGCACGTTTGATCGTCACCAAACCTAAGTATATAAGGGGGTTGGGAATAGACCAATATTCAGATGTGGTTTACATGTACAGTCGCAAGCACCTTCACGCCACATTATTTCGTAAATTAATGTTTTGTACTTAGAAAAATTATTAAATAAACAGTTTAAAATTTCAATTGAGTGTTTTATTGAAGTCTATCCTTTAAAAACTTAACCATCATATACGATTGAGCGACGGCACGCAACACCTTATAATTTATCTCTATAATTGAAGATATGTTAGTACTTTTACGTATCACTTTAATAAATTGGCAATCAAAAAATACGTAAGTCATATAGTACCGGTAACATTTTATTGTGCGTAATCAGAGAGCAACAAGACCTTCAACCCTCTACCAAGGGCACCCATAGAAAAATTCTCAAGGGGGGGGACAACATTTTAATTTATCAATCTATTCATAAATAGGAATGACCCACGATATAGGAAGGGGTTTACAATTTTACATTATACTATTACATTATATATATATCAAACTGGAAGACTATTTATTATTTAACCAATTTACCATAAAAGTAATTTATTGAAATTTTTATTTAATTAATAATATAAATTTTTGATATTTGCCAGGGGGGGACATGCCCCTCTCTTGCACCCCTATATGGGCTCCCTTGCCTCTAACTTGAAGTTTCAGATCACTATTCTTATATGATAATGTATTCATTGACAAAAAATGACTTATTTATTTGGGTAATAAGGACGTAACCAGGGCCGGCGAGATGATGGGCCAGTGAGAGCTAGAACCCCAAGGCCTGTACCTCCGAGAGAGCCCGTTGACTCAACCTTATATACAAAACTATATTATAATCTCATTTGCCGTAGTGTAAGATGCACATTTTAATACTTCTATTATAATAAAGTATGTATGTCTTGACCAAACAAGTGTAAGTAAAGGGGATATGAAATTGATCAGCCTAGGGTGTAGCTAAAAGACCTGGCTCATTAATTTATTGTACCCATATATTGAAATTAGAACTTTCAATAATAATTATTGGAAAGTATACAAAATAAGACACAATTTTAAATGGAAATGAAAAATCAATAAGCTAAAAAAAACGGGCTCTATAATGCTAATCTACACAGGCCCAGCTTTAGTTCTTTCAGCGTCAAGTACAAGAGTAATTTTGGCGCCCCTTCCTCTTAAACGATTTAAACATATAACTAAAAAAAGAAGAATTGTGGGAGCTGGAGGGGCTAAGCTCCATCCATAAACAAAAATGCTCAAAATAATTTTTTAAGCGTGTATACTAACTTTATATTCGTAAATCATACAGATAACTAACATAATAATATAGTAATAGTTTGTTAAATTGAAAAATTAAAGTTAGTATAATTGTACCTACCTATACGAGTAAGTGCACTCACTTGCATGTCGATATAATAATAAATAATAATAATCAAATATATATTAAATCACATTGTAAAAATAATATTTTTCTACTTATTGTTGATAATTTGCATCGTCAAAGTTTTATCAAATTAAATTTTAATGTTGACACTCTTCTCATGCGTCCTTTTGATTTTGGTGACCTATGTCATTGCACGCGTCAATTGTACGTAAAGCTGGTCTGTCTGGTCTTGCTATTACATTTACCTCAACCAATTCCTAAAATTTAAAATTTAGATTTATACATTTTGACAAAGGTGGAAAAGTTAATGAAAATAATTAACTCAATAAGTTAAAATTTAATAAAGAAAAAAATATTAACTTAACTCAGATTAAAAAAAGTTATTCTACTTTTTTTAATTAGTATATAGATCACATAAAAAATGACTATGTTCTTTAGAAAGATCTGATTTCCTAGATTATAATAAATAATTTTATTGTATTTTTTATTATAATAAACAACAGTGGCGTTGAAGTTTTTGAAAAATACTAAGACATTGTACATCAAGGGGCTACTCATTACCGTATTTATCTAGGTTAGGTTAGGTTAGGTATGTATAGTTAAAATTCTTTATACAAAACATTCTGTATCAACGGTCAGAACCCAATACCCGATGGTGGGCCCCCAACTTACAAAATCTAATATGACAACTGATTTACAGTCAGGGTGGGCATAGGTAAATTAAGTCCCAAACTATTTTATTTTTTTTCGAAATAGGTAAACTGAGTCCCAATAATACGAGTAATATTGAAATTGGTAAACTGAGTCCCACGTATAAAATTTAAAGAGGTTAGGTTATATGGGTCGTTGGGAATTCCGTATTATGTCGGTGCCCACGACAATAAATTACACTCTTCGTCAACATTATCATCTAATTGGTGGCGATCGGTGCCGATCAGTGTTTTTTAACATATTCACTGTATTATCAACAATTTGATCAATTTAATGATAATTTTATTGTATGCGTCAATTTATTAATTATTATATATTTAATAAAAAAAAATTATTAATATGTAAAAGAATAACGGAGAAGGGCGTATACGCCGTATACCCGCGTATCAGATAGCATCCTATAAATATACACACCAACAGAGAAACAAATAAGTCGGTATACGCCGTATACCCGCGTATACGCCCCACTACACCACTGGTTATATCTCCTATCTTTATGTAGGCACCTGTATGTAATTTGTATCCAATAATTCTTAAGAAACAATTAGCAAGTCAATATTTACGAAGTTGCAAACATTTATTGCGTATAAATTCAACACAATGGTCGATTAGAACGACGGGGATTTGAGCGCTAGTGAACCGTTAGGTACCTATACGCGTACATTATCTATAAATTGTATTATCTAACTTGTATTATCGACGTGTTTCAAACTCAAGGAAATAAGACAACAGTAAAAACACCGGACTAATTAAGTATTCTATGTATATAATCCCGAGAGGACGCCAAAGGATTATTTATGTAAGATACCCGTCCGTAATCGGAGAAAATATATTTACGGTATGTTCGTCGTGCGTGAACAACAATATACACTTTAGGCTCACAGCAGTAGCGTTGCTCCTAAATGCCAAATTTTTGTTGGGCGTATTTGAAAAATGGGTGCCGATGACCCAAATATTATGTCAAAAAAAAAATATAAGAGTTAAATCATAATTGTGTCTTGCATTATGAGTAACTATGACTTTGTAATATAGATAGAGGAGACCGAGGATAAAATTAACATTGATCAATTAAACAACTTTCAACCAGTGGTTAAAGTGGTAGGGATGGAGGGGGACGAAGTTCTTATATAAGGTAAGATTATGCGTCCTCTTTAATTTAAGTCACCAAAAGTCCGGGTGAACGCTTAATGGCATTGGTCACTAAAATACAATATTGAAGATACAATACTTATTATAATATTACAATGTTACACGAAATTTATTTTTTTGATTAATTTGAACAAGTGGAAAAAAGAAATAATATGTATTTATATATTACAGTAATAAATGGGGGAAATTTGTTTTTACACCATATGAAAATAAATTTTTTAAGAACATGTATGTATAACAGAAGAGGCTTAAACCTCATGGGTTTCCTAAAAAAAGTTGGTAAGATTTAGAATTAGGTAGGGGAACGCTCCTCAATTTTTTATGCATACAGTCCTCCCACAACATTTTTCCCACTTTAACCACTGGTTGTAACTCGTGGCTGTAGCGCTATAGTGAAATAGTGTGTCTAATCGGATTTCACGTAAATATCGTTTACGCGCGTTGTGATCCGTTGCGCTTTCCATATCCGGGTGCCATGATATCGATTAGTGGCCACTTCAAATTACGTTTGAAAACGCAATACTTTATGTTTCAATTGTTTGAACACTCACGTCATGTTAATTAAATTATTTGAAACAACTTTTTTTCATTTTTATTTTTATTTTTATTTTCCGTAAAATGCGGGTTTTTTAACATTAAAGATTGACTCGTATAAACATCGTTAACGGCTAGACAACACTACGGTGACGTCAACCGTTTTTGGCGCAGCTCGTGGAAATTCGGTAGAAAAAGTTCAACAGTTTCTTGTCCGACGTTTTCGTTCAACCCTTCTTCCATCGTCGTGACGGACCATTTTGCACTCGTTCGCGCCGCATCGGCGTGTACTATCGTTGTTGCGCTTGTCGGACGTGGCTTCGGCCACTGGAATGCTCAACGTGGAGGCGGGCGTGCACCAGTTGCACGGTTGCCGCAGTCCGAAGTCGTAACCGCGATGATCGTACTCGGTGTAGGCTGCAGCGGCGAGTGTGGAGCCGACGCGTCTTTTGGCTCCGAGAGTGCGTTCCAGTGGCCGCGGAGCGTAGCGAACCGGTTGACTTATAGCCGCGACCGCGGATTTCCGTACTCGGCGTTCCCGGTTACGCAACATCCGCTGCTGCGTCTTTTTGTCCGCCGGCGGTTTGGCCCACGCGACGTCGAGAAACACGCCCGAAGCCGCGTCCCTGAAACAGTCCAGCGCGTCCATGGCCGACTGCGCATCCTCACGCCGCTCAAAGTGCACGAACGCGTAGTTCTTTAAGTTCTTCACGCGCTCCACGACCCCGTACCGGCCAAACATCTTGGTTACCACGTGTTCGTCCAGCACGCCGCCGCACTGCTTGACGAACAGTATGCGCACCTTAGCCATCGTGTCCGCGTCAACCTGCGGTTCCGGGTCCGCCCAGTCCACCTTCGTCTTGCACCCGAAAACCTTTTGCTTCGACAGTGCCCGCTTGGCGTCCGTAGCCGTGGCCACCGACCCGTAGTCCAGGAAGCAGAAGCCCCGGTGCATCGACGGGTCGTTGAAGTTCTTGTACGTGATCACACGCACCAGATGACCACGCGTTATGCGGCTCACTTCATCGAATATCTCTTTCGGCGCAACCCATTTGCGCCCGAACCCATTTATCGTAGCCCATTTGCGCCCCAAATCATAGCCCATATGCGCCCGATTCAGATCAGGTGAAAATCGTGCAACGTTGCCATTTATTGAGTATATTGACGTGTAACTATAAAATCTAAAATAATATTTGATCGTTTCCCAATCTAATCGAAACCAATATCAAAATCGATAAAGATAATAATATTTTGTCGTTAGTCGTGCTAATCGAAATTGTAAAATCCCAATCGATAAAGATTATATTATATAAAAATGCATTTATCAGTTGTATTTTATAAGTGTCAGTTGCATCAGTACATGAATAGTGAGTACTACTATAATGGAATTTTATATAACTAATTCAAGTAAACAAAAACTTTGTTTAGTTTTTCGTTATTTTAAATATCACGTGAGTAGAACCCTTGTTTCTGGAGATATAAGTTGGCGTTGTGTAAAAAAAAAACCTGTAGTGCGTATGTCAAAACCAATAGTTCAAAAACGAAGTTAACCGAAATTAAAGACAGCCATACCCATGATCCGGAAACTGAAAAAAATTTAAACTTACTGGACGTTCAAGGTAGGTGTAAAAGAAAAGCGTGTGAAGATTTAACTTTACGACCTAATAAAATAATACGTACAGAGCTTTCCACGTGCAGCACCGCTAAGAATTCTGATGTTCATAATATCAGAAAGTCTATATACCGAGAACGTCGAAAAATATTACCCTCAGTTCCTAAATCACTCAACGAAGCAATTGAACAGATTTCTAATTTAGTAATTTTAACAAATAAAAACGAAGAGTTTACATATGTTGATAATGTAAATAATATTATTTTGATTACATGTAAAACGAATTTAAATTTTTTATGCGATTTCAACTATTCTGATATTTTTGGTGATGGTACTTTTACTTATAGACTATCACATTTTTATCAAATGTATGGTATTCATATATATGTAAATGGATTTTATATACCACTTGTTATTGCATTTTTACCATCAAAATCATTTGAATGTTATCGGGCTATGTGGAACTTTATTTGCCATTTATGTACAAATAAATTACAAAAAAATTTTACACCATTATCAATCCATTTAGATTTTGAAATCGCAGCACACAAAGCATTTCTAAATGTATTTCCAGACAGCAAAATAAGAGGCTGTAGATTTCATTTAGGTCAATCTTGGTACCGAAAAATAAATTCTTTGCCAGATCTTAAAAAATTGTACAAGAATCAGTCATGCGATATCGCTAAATGGTTAACATTATTTTTTGGGTTACCATTTTTACCGTCAAATGAAGTGGAAGATGCTTATTTTGATTTACAAAACTTAACTCCAAATTTCAATTTGACAAATTTATCCGAATTTTCTGATTATGTATTTAATAACTATATCATTAAAGGATGTCCATTTCCACCATCAATTTGGGCTGAACCTCCAACAGACGCACCTCGCACCACAAATTGCGCTGAATCATTTCACAAGCACTTTAACTCCCAATTTTATTCACCTCATCCTCCATTGACTAGTGTAATTGAAAATTTAAAACTTATACAAGTAGAATCATATCTAAAAATAAATGAAATCAAGAAGGGTAAAATAAAATCACGACGTAAAGAAGAAAAAGAAAAAATACAACATACTTATGAAGCGTGGAATGAGTACAGAGGAAAACACTTAAATAAAATAGAATACTTAAAAAAAATTTCTTATAAATTTCGGAGAATCAATTTATAATAACTGTATGATTATTTTAATATTATTATAATTTAATTATATTTTGTGTTATTAACATCCTTATTATTGACTAATGTACCTATATTATAAATTTTGATTATTTTTGACGTAGGATTTAATATTTTTAAACAATCTTAAACGACAACTGACAACAGTGGCAATTAATATGTATTATTTATTTTGTTTCTATATAAATTTAATTTAATGGATTATTAATAATACCTATTTAAAATTTAGATGTATATGTGATATTATTGTAATTGTATTTATTAATTATTTTGATTTTACGTAAAAATGTTTCTATTTGAAATTAATAATTTAATGCAATATAAATAATATATATGTATATATAATATGTATACTGTTTAGTATTTAACATTATTTTTAAAATTATTACTTTTTTTTAATTTTGATTTTACATAGAATTGTATATTTTTAAACAACAACGGCAACGTTGCATGCAAAATGGGCGCATTTGGGCTATAAATCAGGGTGTTAAGTTTTTTATTTTGGGCGCAAATGTCCATAACTCTCGGGGCGCAAATGGGCTGCTCTTGGGCGCAAATGGGCTACAGCCATCTCTTTTTCCGTTTTCACCTTCGACAGGTTGCCCACGTACAGCCTGAATTTTTGGCCGTCGTCCTTGGTGGTCGAACGGCTCTCCGAACGGTTCGTCATCGCGATTCTATCACGTGGTATTATCAACTGTAGGTCTTGAGCGTGGTTGACGATACGATGATGGTGTCGCAAATTCCTCGTTTATTGATCAATTCTTTTTTTATTCTCTTCCTGTCCACAGTGTTTCTGTTACGTTGTCTTGTTAACAATGAACGTTCGATTAATATTTCGTACTTGTTTTACACTCGTTGAAAACACTCGCTATGGCCAGCTAGCTATTACATAGCTCTATTTGTAATCGGGTGACAGTGCATTTTTTTTTATATATATCCGTCGTACGTAGAAAAAAAAACGTGAAACCGATGCACACGGGGTGCCGTGATCGAGTTCGAAGAGTTGATGATGTGATCAACGCCGACGTTACGCATTAACAATGTTTATAGATTGTCTACCGGACGTGATATATTTAATCGATCATCTAGGAATGCCGGCGAGCTCGTCGTCTAGAAACGCTGCAATTGCAAGCGAAATCGTTGATAACACTAAGGTAAATGCGTAACGATAACTGACCGTGTAACCGACTGCTTGGGTCGTACGGGTAACGTTATAATGGAAATACGCACGTGCATCGTGTGCAGATTCACGAAGATACCAAATCGCAATCGACACCCAAGAGCGTATTTGAGGGGGGGAGTGAAGTGGGCATTCGCCCCCCCCCCCCCATGACTCGTATTTTTTTTTAATATAGTACATTGATTTATTTAAAAAAATGTAATGTATAAATAATAATTAAGAATATAAATTACTAGTCTATCATTATAATATGTTATCATTATAACAGAAGCATGCAATTATTTTAAGTTTGTTTAGCCCCCTCCCCCTATAGCCACAACTCAAATACGCTCTTGTTTTGAAAGCGGAGAGGCTATTAATGTTTTGAACATAAATTGGTGGAGCTCTGATGTTATCATATTGATGATAAACAATAGATTCGTTGATTGCATTACGGAATATCACAAGAGGTATCTCGTTAGATTTAATTATTTTCTTCGTTCGCCAAGATAGCGAAACCACTAGGTGAAACTAATGGTTTGATTTTTTCCCAATATGGATAGTTTAATATTATTTGATGTAATGTGACTAGTACAATTCAATTTTGTACTTTAATTTTTTTTCTTCATCCGTATTTTGCTGAACGTTAATTTGACCGATACTGGGTCTAATTTGACAGTAGCATAAATAAGTCTGAATATAAAATGAAAGGTATTTAAAAATATATTTCATGATTATGGCCGAAAAGATTTTATCAATGAGTTTAAACAGTTTTTCATCAACGTCTTTATTATTAATTACTACGATCGAAAATAAGAATAAGAATATTTTGCTTAATACGTATAAGATGATAATAATTATCATCTTATACGTAATATGAATTATTCATTTAAATGCGTCTGAGAGTTTTCCAAATGTTGAAAGGATATTACGCTTATATCTTCCTCTATGTGTACTAGTTGTACTGAAAATTTGTTTTCATAATTTTTATACCGCTTATCTTGAACTAAACAAATGCATATATAACCTATAGCATGGACTTACATACAAGGCTGTGATCTACAAGAAGTACCTATTATGTATATACGTTGCATACATTTCACGCTTTGATCCGTTTCGTGAAATGGATAGAAATTTTATCCAGTTCACGAAACGGAACTTCTTTTTCTACATATCGCGCAATAATTAATCAATCATTATTTAGTAGTCATAAATAAATATTATGACCAAGAGTTATTTACGTAGATATTACGTAATAAAATAATATTGTTAATGAACTTCAAGTTTCAAAAATGTAATGTAAAGGCCCAATAGCGAACGTGCGACGCATGGTTGTCGAGCACGTACACTCATCCGTTGCAAGCCAAAATTGTTCATGTGTGTACGCGGAGTCGAACACCAAATGACGTTCACAACGTGAACAACGAACGCGATCCGATCGTTGTCAGTATTCTAATGATTCTTGGAGAGATTACAGACATGAATCGAGGTTCCATGTGAACGGATGTTTTCAAAACTACAAATCATTTCACAATCGATACAACAGTTCGTGTACATCGACGTTCGGCGAGTGACCGATGAAATATTCGGAATTTTCGTTCAACACGCAAATATTTAACTGTGCGTAGAATTTTTGTACAAGCGTTCACACGGAGCCCCGAGTAACTGCGAACGAGCAGTTGTGTTCAACGACCAAGCGTTGCACAATTTGCTCTCGTACGTTCAATTCTATAACGATTATTGATTAATACGATTCGAGTTGATGGATAAATGAATAGTTATTAATTACTTATTATTGTGTTTTACGAGTTCAAGAGTGAGACATTTGTGATTGATAGATTAGTAGAAAAAAAATAATACTCGAGAAATTTATTACTTATTAAAGTTTAAGGTTCGAGTTACTTGTATTTTGTAATTCATTTTTTTTTATTCAATTATTTTCCAATAATTAGTATTTAATAAGTAATTACAAAGCAGTTTTATTGCAGTTTGTCATATTTTTGAAACAATTAAATGCGTTTAATACATTTATATTATCTGGCTCGATTGAATTACGATAAACATAATTGAATTTCTCCTAACAACAGACTTGTTTATTTTTATAAATATTAGATATTCTAAAAATTTGAAAACAAAATTTTACAATTTTACACTTTTTTTTATACATAAATAATTCTTATACGTTCATTCTTATACTCTAATACGTATATAACAACATATTCATTAAGTATATTATTGTAACCTACAAAGTATTAACATTTTTACACGATACTGAATACATTTTAAAAATCTATAGTAAAAATGGCAAATACCGGATTATGGTTCTATTGGATAACAGGATGGAATAGAAACAAGAATAACGAAATACAACAAGAGGATAACAACACCGGATCCTCGGTAAACACTGTTTCTACATGTGATAGAAGAA